CTTCTCAGATAAAGCTTTTGCTTCTAGCTCAGATATCAAGAAACTATTTGCTAGACAAGTCGTTGCTACATGTCTAAAGACTGGGTTCTGATTCTGAAATACCCCGATACATTAAAGAACACCACACATCTTCTGGAATACTCATCACTTCTTATCATATACATTCCATCAGAAGATTAAAGAACAAAGACGTGATCTCTTCCGTGCTCTCTTACTACTTCAGATAATAAATATCTCACCAGAAGAAAAGATTAAAAACTTACACTAGAAGTAAATAGTACAATATCACAACGCCTTTTCCGTTATTTGTAACACATTGCACATAATAAGTTTTAGTGTGCTCTTTGTCTCCCATGACCAAAGCCTACCGTTGTAGCACACGGCTTGATGAAAGTGATGTTTTCTAAAGGTCTTCTTTTCTCAGCCTATATAAATGGATTGCTGATTCATTTGAAACTAACGATAAAAAAATAAACAATTCAAAGGAAAAACATCAAAAGTGAAGTTAGTGTGAAAGAAAACAAAGAGAGAAAATATTCAAGAGATATTCAAAAACACAAAGAGTTATTGCTCAATTTTGTGTTAACTTTTCATTCTCTAAAACACAAGAGTTGTTTCTCATCATTGTGTTATTTTATCATTGTTGTATACACAAGAGTTGTTGCTCATATTTGTGTATAAACATTTGTTCTTTATTGAGGTGTTGAATATGCTTTTTAAAAGCACTATTGTAAACACTGTTTGATTGTAAATCTTTCTAGATTTATTTCCTCAAGTGACTAAATTGTAGTCAGAATTACTTGAGAGAGCTAAGGTGTTTTTCTAAACACTTAGACGTTGTTGTGATATTTCTAGATTATTAGATTAAGTCCTTTTCTAAGGAGAAATCACCTTTGCGGGTGGACAAGAGTATCCTTTTCTAAGGTGAACTTGTATAAACTAATCATGTCAACTTTCTTTCTTGCTTAGCTATCATTGTTTGTTTGTGAGAAGCATTTCTAAAAGAAATAGTTTTTGAATACCCAATTCAAACCCCTCATTCTTGTGTTTTTCTCAACCTTCATAGAGGGACATGATGATTTGTTGTGTCCCGAAATACAACATATTGAGCATTTATTTGGAAACCCCTTTTTGGAAACATTTGTTGTATCCTTCCTATTTTCATCAACATCTTTGTTTCTCTTTCTTTTTGGCCTCCCAGGTTCCCTTCTGGATGGGAGTGGAAGTATGTCAGGATATGATGTCAATTCCCATAAGTTTCCCCATTTGTTGGATATATCAATGGTTGGCAGCAAGCCTGGTAATTCTCCTTCCTATAATAGGGAGGAATGTACTCAGCTGGGTCTTCAGATCTACTTTAGATCTCCTGCAAGAGCACTCAAACCTCTTAAGATCAACTGTGAATTTCTCTCTAGTCACACTTGTATGCCTTACTTCATAAATTATGTCACCTGATAACCTTTAAAAGAAATGAAATACATTGGGTTAGTGTTACTGTATTACCTTGATATACTACAAAATAAATGAATTACTGAATTACCTTGCTATAAAGAATCTTGAGATTTCTTGCCTTATTTCAAGCACCTTCTTAATTCTTGGAAGTACAGAGTCACTATAGTCTTCAATCTTGGCTCTACTAGTTGGCAATTTGTCTATGAGGTACCCTTAGATATCCTCTAACATTGTTACAATTGGCTTTTGTCTTGGTCTAATTAAACACTATTAAAATTTTCAGACATATTATTCACCAACACATCACTTTTTGTACTATACTTGAACATATACTTACTCCAGTATCTAGGGGGAATCTTCAACAAGTGTTTGTATGCCTAATCATTAACCTTCCTCATCTCCTTCATTTCCCTTTCCCATGCTTGGAGATATGTTGCCTTGGCTGCCCTCCACATTAATTCCTTCAACTGCTTGCCTGAAACCTTTTTCTGAAGTTGTTATAGAAGTGTCTAACACAAAATCTCTGGTCAACTCCAGGTAACAACTTCTCTATTGTAGGTAACAACCCGTAATCATGTAATAAATAAACCGTGTTACAATTTAAAATCATGAATGACATATATGTTGCAATTTAAAAACATTAAAGACCTATCTGTTACAATTCAAAATGACGAAGGACCTGTATGTTACTTTCTGCTGGTCTCAAATGAAAGTAATGTTCTTGCAATAGCTTCCTTCCTTGTTGAAAACAAGCTTACCAATACCCACTTATAACCATTAAACTTCTTAGGCATGACAAATGGTGGATGATTTACCTTCCCACCCTCATCTGAATAATCACTACTCATATTATCCTCACTTTCTAGCTTTTCAATTACATAGTCAGAATTTGACAAACTACAACATACCTTCTTACCTGCACTCCTTTCTCTAAATCTAAAATCAAGGACATATTCATAGCTTGATGTTTCATCACCAAATGTAACTGAACTTCCTTCATCCTCCCTTTTTTCATTGATATTCTCTTCTGTTTGTTGGAACTCCCTGATGCCTTATTTGGAGATCCATTTTTTTCTTTGGTCTTCCACCCTTCCTCTTTTTATTTTGATGTGTTTCATATGCTAGTATTTCATCAACAGGTTGATCATTTTGGCCAACAACGAAACCTCTTTCTCCTACCAACACTTCATCAAATCCATAATTTAAAATCTCATCATCTGAGTCATCAAACCTGTGTCATAATGCACTGCCATCACTATCAGGTTGGGGCTCAGTAACATTAGGTGGGACCTCAGGTTGTTTATTTGTAACATCAATAGGTTGGGCCTCAGTTGGTTCATTTGTCACTACATCAGGTTGAGCCTCAGTTGTTTTATTTGTAACTACATCAGGTTGGGCCTCAGTTGGTTCATTTGTAACTACATCAGCTTGGGTCTCAGAGTCAATCTCAGGTAGGGCAACTACTATATCAGGTCGAGAAATAGGGTGGACAATGTACGTGCTTACCTTTCCATTAGTATTGGACCATTTCAATGCTTATATTGCACCAAAGTCATTTTCTAGCGCCTTCAATGTTTCAGCAAAATCATACCACATTTCAAGAACCCTTGGATACTTCATCTCTTTAACAATCCCCAAAATCTCAAAGTAACTCCATCTATCACCATCGCACTTTCAGTTTGACACTTCCCCCATTCATATTTGTCACCAACCAAATATCCCCCATGATGGAAATCAATGTAAAATGCATGCATAGCCATTTTGACCTATTAACATCAGCAACAAACATACCTAACATGCAAATAAGCAGCAAGCCCTAAGATGAACACTACCATTGCTACTATCATCAACATACCCAAACTTAAATCAAACTAAAATAAATACATACAATGAATACCACAATTATTTTAGACATAGCGAAACATACCTCAGCTGGACGATTTCGTCACCTTCAATGACGTCGTTGTCTCCAACTGTGTACCCTTCTCCCTCAATGTTCATTATTTTTGTGTAGCCTTCTCCCTCAACATTGACTGCGTTCACTGAAGGTTAATTAGGAATTAGGGTTGGATAATCTAATTTGGGATTGAAACGTTTTAACTATTTTATAATAAGACAAAAAACCCATTCAACACTGTTAAATGACATCTCAACGACGTTTGTGACACATAAGCTTTTTTGGAACAAAGTTTGTGAAAAAGGACAACGCTGCAGACGTTAGTTAACATAAAGAACCTACTTGTAGCGAAAAAAATATAAAGGACTACCTTATTACAATTAAATAACTTAAAGGACCCTGAGTATATTTTGGCTTTTATTTTATTATATATTTTATTTCTCGTCATTTATGTATTTTTTTTAATTTACTATCTTTTTATATATTAATTATAATATAATTAATTAACTTAATAGACTTAAAATGTTTTGTAAATAAAATAATATAAATGGGTGGAGTCAAACATATGTTGCTTATTTACAATTATCATTGAAACAAAAATAGTTGAGATTGTTTATAAATTTGCAATGTGTCAATTTGAGTCCACAAAATATGACAAAAGCAACTAAAATTCGTTCTTTCATTGGAGATACTCTTAGAGTATCTCCAATGGTGGGAACTTAGAGATTGCTTAGTTCTTAAGTTATATTCCTTGGTTTTTTTACTATTGGAGTGTGATGATGGTGACACCACTGGTTACTTAAATATAAGGGACAAAATTTAATGAAGCAACTTGAAAAATTGAGCACTTAATATTAAATATTTTTTTTGAGGCAATTCAATTAAAATAATAATGGAAGGTGGTTGTTAATTATAGTACAAATATAATAATAGAAATCGGTGGAGCCTAATATACATTGCTTATATATAATTATCATTGGAGCAAAAATAATTGAGATTGTTTATGGATTACTTAAATGCAATGTGACAATTTGAACCCGCAAAATATGACACAAATAATGAAATGATGTTCTTTCATTAGAGATGCTCTTAGACCATCTCCAATGGTGGAAAGTTATTGATTTCTTAACTCTTAAGTTCCGTTGTATATATTTTTAACCATTAGAGTATGCTGATGTGACAATATTGATTGTTTAAATTTAAAAGATAAAACTTCATGAAGAAATCACAAAAGTAGAGAATTTAACATTAAATATTATTATTTTTAAATCAATTCAATTGAAAAGTGATTATTATATATTGCTTATTTACTATTACCATTGAAATAAAAACATTTGAAATTGCTTAGAAAATGCTTAAATGCAATATAATAATTTAAGTCCACAAAATATAAAACAAACAACCAAAATTAATATTCTCCTATTAGAGATGCTCTTGACTAAGTGACTTAGTAAGGAAGTATTCTTAGATGGTGGTACAATTTGTCCACTTGCTGTCTTGTCTTTCTGAATATGGAACCTTAGAGCATAAATATCGGTCAAGTAATCTAGCTTCTAAACTATTCTAGCTAGTATATATTTAATTGCCTACTCTTCTCAAAACTTGCACTTGATTTAACTGTAACAGGATCTACTTGCCCCCAACAAACCTAATGCAGAAGCCTTCTGTTATTCCTCTAGCTGGTATTTCAATGCCAGTGCCATATCACCAGTCACAGGCACCTGTACACTTTGGTGCAAATGAACAATGTGGGCAGAGTAAGGCTGAACCTGAAGACTGGGAGGATGCTGCAGACATGAACGCACCAAAGCTAGAAGTTGCAGAGCAATACTCTGATCTCCCTGAAGGATTTGAAATCACGGCAGCCATAGCTGAAACCTTGATGGGTTCTAATATTGGTTCTCATGTTATCAAACACGACTCACATCCTTCTACCGGGAGAAATTCAGATAGGTCAGGTGGCATGTCTCGGATGGATCGTCGTGGAAGTGGCATTATTGAGGATGATAGATGGAGTAAAGGTTCTGGTGCTTTTCATTCTGATACGCGCTTGGATGGTATTGGAGATAGTGCAGGATCCCGTACTGGCCAAGGAGGTAATTTTGATGCTTTAAGGAATCCACGCACACAGACAGTTATGAAATATGGTGGACGGATTCTCTTTGGGCCAATGGTAAATATGGGAGGAATGCAAAGAAATAGCCTTGGTGGTGAAAGGTGGCAGCGTGCTTCTAGCTTCCGGCAGAGGGGTTTAATTCCATCTCCTTCTTCTCAATCTCCTTTGGTGATGATGCACAAAGCTGAGAAGAAGTATGAGGTTGGTAAAGTAACAGATGAGGAACAGGCGAAGCAGAGAGAGTTGAAGGGTATATTGAACAAGTTGAGACAGTTGGAGGGTATATTGAACAAGTTAACTCCACAGAATTTTAAGAAACTTTTTAAGCAGGTAAAAGCAGTTAATATTGACAACGCAGTCACTCTCTCTGGTTTCATCTTACAAATCTTTGAGAAGGCCTTGCTGGAACCTACCCTCTGTGAAATGTATGCCAATTTATGTTCTCATCTGGCAGCTGCATTGCCTGATCTCAGTCAAGACAATGAAAAGATAACATTTAAGAGATTGTTGATAAACATGTGCCAGGAAGAATTTGAGAGGGGTGAAAGAGAGCAAGAAGAGGCTAATCAAGCTGATGAGGGCGAGGTGAAACAGTCTGACGAGGACAGAGAAGCAAAACGTTCCAAGGCTAGAAGACGAATGTTGGGTAATATCAGATTAATTGGAGAGCTATATAAGAAGAGATTCCTGACAGAGAGGATAATGCACGAGTGCATCAAAAAGTTACTGGGTCAGTGTCAGAATCCTGATGAAGATGATATTGAAGCTTTATGCACACTGATGAGTACTATTGGGGAGATGATTGATCACCCCAAAGCCAAGGAACATATGGATGTATATTTTGAAAGGATTAAATTATTATCAAACAACATGAGTTTATCTTCTAGGGTGAGGTTCATGTTGAAGGATACCATTGATTTGAGAAAGAATAGATGGCAACAAAGGAGAAAAGTTGAAGGTCCATTGATTTGAGAAGGATACCATTCTTCTCGTGTTTTCTATTCCCTTTGTTTAAGCTTGTGACAGTTAGTTTTTTTTATGAGAAGTGTGCTTTCTAGTTGGCTATTTATCATTTTCTTATAAGTATAATTCTCAGTATGCTGAGCATGTCCAGATTCTTCATGGAAAATCTTTTGTTTAAGTGGTGACCCTCCGCACGGAGGAGCGGTTTTCATCCTAAGCAAATTTAACATTTGTCTCTCGCATGTTTATACAATCAAAAGTCCGAGAATCTAATCCATGTGAGACTTCAACACCAACCCTCATACGTACCATGGGCCTCAGTCAAATGTATAACTTTAGTGGAGGACAGAGTCAACATTTGGTCTCAGATATATAATGCTTGTCACGAGGGGTTTAATTTTTTTTAATCATTATTGTATCATTCAATTTAACTGTCCATGAAACTATAATCTGTATTAATCTGCAACATCATCAAAATCTATACAAAAAGTTTGTACACAAATTTTGTGTTGTTTTTTCCTATTCTTGCTAAATACTAAATGGATGGCTTCTCCGCTAATTGAAGAATATCAGAGAGAACTTCAAGCAAGTGGAAGTGAACTGTTAATGATATTGAGCGATTCGGAGGGTTACACAAGTATGTGTGAGCTGCAAGCGATGGGTCTTGTTTACCCTTCAGTTGGGAACCCTATATATAGAGAGGTATCTGGACCTCATTGATCACTGCATGTAATTGTCGTGACTCTCCATCATACGTAACTGAATTGCCATTAAGGCAAGAAACGTCTGTTGTTGTCAATGATGGTTGTTATCATAACACACGATGCCATGTATTGATGAGTGGTTACCCCCTTAATGGGTCGATCACTCTATAACGATCTCATCAAGGTCGGGCTCTATGCAACCTCTGGATCCAGGGACAAGCCCGGTTGACGCCTCTTCATCTTTCTCGATGACCGACCACATATGCCTCTGACTATACAACCCGACTCAAGCATGATGATGTTAAACTGATATATTACCCGGCTAAGCATTTATTTGTCCTCCTTGGCCTTCTATCCATGTCTTGTCATTTTATCTCTCCTAGCCTGGACAATGGATCTATGTATGAACATAAGTCCCACGAGCATATGGCTTTTATCTGAAGCCTTATGTTCGATCAACGTAAATATTGATCTTTTGTTCTGGGTCGGACTTCTATAATCGGGTGATGGTCGATTCCATACCTAAGCGTGCGTGCCGCTCACGCCCTAGTTTCCAAACATTCACCTTGTTTTCTTAGGTATAATCATTACTAAGGCGATTTTTTGAAACCTACACACGTTTCCTCTTCTTTAATCGTTACTTCCCATAACTTCTCCTTTTATAAAAACCTTTCCTCTTCTATTCCCAAAGACTCTCCTACTTTTCTTTGCAAGTGCCCTCAATTCATCTCTTCAATTTCTTCAAATGGCAACCGCTTATAGGTATTTATCTCCTCCCTTTACCTTATTTTTCCTGCACATTTCCTTTTGTTTTGAGAGATGGTAGTTTTACTCGAGTGTGATGAAGAGGGTGTCGTTCTAAAATCCCAAAATGCTGAAGAGAGATACACATTGTGGCGTGCATGCATGAGGGATTATGAAAAAGGCTTAGGTAGAGAGGACTTATGTTGTACCCCAAAATCCCCCCCCCCCCCCCCCCCCCCCCCCCCCATTTTTCTTCAAGACATTCTCATAAGATCCTCAAATGCTCAAGTTGGCTCAAGAATTGATCAGACAAATTCTCCCCCTAAGCAATGGGTCCATAACTAGGCTTTAGTATTTCTCAAGGGATATTGGATCCTCAAGGCCTCAAGTGGTTTTCACGGTTCTCCATAGGTCTTCAAGAATGCTCATGTCAAGTTTCAAGTCTGTTTACAGTGATTTCTAGTAAACAACCGCTAGTCTTCCAATTTACTAATTATTATTGGTTACTTGCAGGATCGACTAGATTGATCCTAGAACACATGTGTCATAACTCATTTCTATGTTCATACCCATTATCTTGATAGACTTATATTGTGTGTTAAGTTTGAATATGAGATTCTTAGGAAAGATCTCTAAAATTGTCTATAGGAATAAACTAACTGAATGTAGAAAGGAGAGGCTTCGAATTAGACTTAGGATTTAATGCTTGAATGTAAAGATAAGTGTTTGAATAAAAGGATAAAGTGAAAGTAAAGTTTCTAACGAAATAATTGTGTTTAAAGGCAAGTAAAACAAGGAAATGCAAGGAAATCGAAAGATTTAAGGGCAGAAATACTGTAATAGCGAACTAAAATATAAAAAGACTTGTATTGAAATTGTAAAGAATGATGATGTTCAATACGTACATTGTGTCTTCTGACTCTTTTCCCTTAATTCACGGTAGTTTGAGTGTTTTGAGATCTTTTAGTACATAAAAATGAACATGCTAAATCTAACATAAGAGCACCTATTTATAGTGTCTTGGTCCTAACGGTCCTATTCTAAAATCACGCCACGTTCGAAGCATGCAGGCTTCCTATGTTTACTGACTTCCACGCGTCTTCTAAGAATGGCGCTCCTTTTTGAAATTCGAAATCTGTACCAATCGAAGCATCTTGTTTCTTCGTCGCTTTCGAAATAACCCAATTACCTGGACCGTTTCCAATTCTGGCACCCTTGCATAAATGAGCTCTTTATATTTCGAACACTAAAAAATCCAAATCGAAATCCACTGGGAATTGAATAATCCTTCAGCACAATGACTCCATATTTCCCACCAATATCCAATATTGATATCAATCTCCCTAGGTAATTATTCGAAATATTATTTTGATAGTGGTTTCTTCTTTATTTGAAATAGCCAGCTAACAAATTGCCCCTTAAGAACATGTATTTCGATATATATAAAGAAATACTTGTTTTTGACTCATCCAGACTATTTCGAGAGTATCAAAAACTCATGATGACCATACTGCACACGATGGCAGAGTAAGTGTCCAACTTTCTGCAAAACGTCCAATCACCACACCAAAACGTGCAATCAGCAGTTATAGCTAATAATTAGCAGCAAAAACATCACTTTCCTAGGAAGCTCAAAAAAATCCACCTTTTCTCTTTCCAATGAGGGAGTTACACGTATCCCACCTTTTTCCAAAGGTCAAAAACTATTAAACTGTTGAGGAAGGCTATAAAATACTTCATCTTCTTCATTTCAACTTTTCCGAACTTGCTCATTCTTCAAACAACCAGATTTCTTGGTTTCAGATATCATAAAAAAAAATTTATTTTCACAATGTCTTCAGCGCTACCTTCCTCATCCAAGAAGTCTGGAAAGTCCAAGCAAACTTCTTCCTCCATTCCTAGACCAGCAAGCAAGATTATCAACCTTGATAATCAGGAGTTCATTTCAACCCCTAAACTCACTCAAGAATAAAAAGCTATCTACGCTTCTCAGGTAATCATTCCTACCACTGTTCTTGATAAAACCCTAGGAGTTATGGGTCCTCTAATCTCAACGGATCGTTTAGAAAAAACAAAGGGATTTTTTCCCGCGTATTCAAAAACAAAACCCATTGTTAACAAATCCCTTTCTCCAAAACTTAAGGAAGACGAATCGGTTGTGAAACTGTCCAAAACCTTAAAAGAGAAAACACATGACACAGAAACGTCACAACCTACGAGGGACACTTTTTGCATGGACTATGTTACTGGGAATTTCAAACCCTTTCGCTCATGTCCCTCGTCAGACCAATTATACCAAGTCTGGCTTTCGAAAGTTGAACATAAGAAATCCCAGAAATGGGAAAGTATAGGTATCCTAAACCTGATTCGAATGTCAAAATTAGGTTTCAGTTACAGCCAACCTTTTTTTCTAGCCTCTCTCTATACTTTTGGGATAGCACCTATAATACTTTCCATCTCCCTTGTGGAATGCTGACACCTACATTCTTTGATATTGCTGCCATCACTGGACTTTCCCCTATTGGGGAGACTTTCGATCCAAACGAAGATGCGGATAACCTCATTGACTTTGATGTCAAGAATGCCAGTTTTTCATAATACATCAATCTCTATCACTCTGCCGAGGAAGAGGTTTCTGATGTTGAACATATAGCTTTTCTGGCGCTATGGTTATCAAAATATGTCTTCTGCAGCAAGTCTCTACAAGTTGTTAGCAGGTTCATCACCCTTGCAAATCAACTTCATCATGGTCGAAGGGTATGCATCAGTGAGTTACTGCTGACAAGCCTATATGAAAGCATAAGTGCTGCAGTTTCGAAACTAAAAACTTATGAATCTGGCACTAACCTGCTTCTTGCTGGCCCCTTTTGGCTATTGCAGCTTTGGTTAAATGCAACTTTCGAACCATCTCTATCAACCTTTGGGGTTATCGACGAAGAACATCCTGACATTATAAATCGAAGCATTGAAGGCACTAGGTTGTTAAAACTAACCCCAAACGATGAAAGATAAAATTTCAAAACATGCTTCGTTAACTATACAATGATTTTCTCCAAAAGACATAGATTTTACCCTTCAATGGCCCCTTTTGCCAATCGAAACTGTGGTCCAACTTGGTTTACCATGCCCCTTGAACAAGCCATTGAAGAAGAGATAATTAGGGACATTTGGTGTGCCTTTTTAAACCCTAGGCTTATTATTTCTAGGATCACGCCTGTGAAGAGCCAAGTGTGTATCCTTGCTTATCAACCTAATTTCGTGGCTCGTCAATTCGGATTATGCCAGATTCTACCTGAGTCTCTCTTCAACAAGAAAAGGGAGATATGTTTAGCAGGGGTACCTTACTCCTTCAAGGAAATCGAAACTCGTCAAAAGAAATATGCTGGCTTTGCTGACTTCTCATTAGTCTTTTTTACTCCTTCCTTTTACATGACGAAAGATTTTTATACTTGGTGGACGGCTTATTATTCGAAGAATATGTTCAACACCATCCAAATTCAAAAACAACTGACGACAGCTTTTTCCTTTGTGCAAGAACACGTCAAAAAAGGTAGATTTACTCATGTCAAGGAAATTCGAGCCTTTCAAAAATATTTCAAAATTGTCTATAATCCTATGGAGATACATCGAACTGTCTGCGAAGCAGCAAGAACTTTGAAAGAAAAATTTGAAAAACAACTTTCAAAAATTCGATTTCCTCCTTATGTAAAACCTGAAGATAGGTATTGGTGGGCTTTTAAACATCAAACACAAAAATTTCCAAACCTACCTACTTCAGAGTT